GGGAAGGGGAAGAGTTCAAATTTATACCGAGCGCCTCGTTCATTCATTCATTTTTCAAGAGCACACTAAGGGCACTGGGCATGGCGCAGTTCTCAGGGCTGGGACTCAGCACCAATCAGAGACCTTCTCTTGGGGAAGCTTCCTCTTAGTGGGGTAGAAAGAACATGTCACTTGTCGTGAGCCTGGCATGGGACTTGGGAGTGGGACGTGCCACAGGAGAAAGGAGTGCGGGAGAGGAGTGAGTTGATTTGGCAGGTCTGATGTCTGTGTGGCTTCAAGTGTGTTGGGGCAGTGGCTGGGAGACCTCACCCGGGAACAGGTCCCATGGGCTGAGGCCTCTGGCTTGTTGGGGTGTAGCTTCGTGCATTGGTTTGCATCTTCTGAAAAGCAGGTCAGATCTGAGACAGGATCTGATGCATAAGAGCTATGCATCAAATGCCTGACAAGAACAAAAGGGCTCCTACGTGTGTAGTTGGTAGGAGCGTTTTGGTCTGGGAATGGCCTGCGTGGTGTCCCTGCCATGTTGTCTGGGCCTCCGAGAGCTGATGTTGGGCATGGTTGTGGCAAGGACACTCCTGCTAGTGGGCAGCAGGTCTTAGGAGTCTGGGTTCAGGAGAGAGTCCAGGCTTGAGTGAGGGGGGACCACCCAGGGTGGGCTGGCCATGGCAGGTGGCAACACTGAGGGTGGTAGAGGAGGGGCCAGCCACATTGCCGACAGAGGAAAGGGTGATGAAGAAGGTACCTCCGACACTGCCAGGGATAAGGGGTGCCTATCCCACGGCCGGACCAGCGGCCACCGGTGACCTGGATGGGAGACTTCACATCCATGCCCCCTAGTGCAGCATCCTGTCCTCCTCGTTCCATGACTTCTTCCCACCTGTCCAGAGGTGACATCAATGGTAGTGCAAGGGAGAGGTGGCGTGGGCGTGCAGTGTTGTCAGGCTGGAGTGTGTTCCTTGAGCTCACAGGAGACACCTCCCAGGGCAGTGACAGTGAGCGGAGGGTTCAGCTCATTAACACATCTGTCACTTTTGTGAGGTTTTTCCACAGAAGAGCCTGATATGTTCACAGGTGGAGTTAGCGGAAAACCACAGGCACAAGTTAGAAGTGTTGATGTCTTCTCTCCACATACAGCATGAGGAGCATGCCTCGGACAGCCGCCCCTCAGGGACTATGGTGTGGGACCAGGAGCCACAGTGGGAGCTGGAGTGGCTTTGGGCCGCTCTCTCAGAGAAGCACAGCCAAGGTGGGTGCCCTCCCCCTGCCCTGGCCTCCTGTCCCCATCTCTGCCACATCGGGGCCCTGGCCCAGGGGCTGCTCTGGGTGAAGAATGGTACTTTGGTTGTGATTAGGCACCTATGTGGAGCACTGGAAGACTTTGCCCTCTTCTGTGGGAGTTGGTGCTGGCGGCCTCCCCAGAATGGGTCCCAACACGGCAGATGTGGAGTTAGGGGCAGGGGTGGAGCCCCAAGTGAGAGCACGTGTTCCCAGTGGGCGGCAGGGGCAGGGCCAGGTCTGAGTGAGAGCAGGTGTTCTGAGTGGGAAGCGGCTCTGCTGCAGCCTTTTGTTCTCCAGGCAGTGTTGGTCTAACATGGGGGTGACAGCCCTGAGGTCATAGGGATTGCTGGGAGTGGTGGCTGCTGCTTCTCTGGAGGGAAGAAATGCAATGGTGGCTCTGGGTGAGACTCTTCTAGGATCCTTCTCTGCTCCCGTCAGGCCCAGGGCAAGCAGATGGTCAGGCTTGGTCCATCTGGCTCTTTGGTCAGACCAAGGCTGAGGGACGTCCAGGCAGAGCACAGGGGAGGGGCTGTAGGTGGTTGGGTGTTACACTTTCCTCTGTGTAACTGAGACGGAGAAAAGGGAAAGAATTCACTGAAAGTACCATCAATGAGGCCTGGAGGGACTGCCACCCATCAGGGGAGCAGCCCCGATCCAAAATCAGCCTTCCTTTTTATTGACAAGACAAGGAAGTTTCACAAGGAAAATTGGTTGATTCAATCATCAAAGAAGGACATAAGGACAAGGGCAATGTTACAAAAGTATAGCTTAACAATGGAAACTAGTAACATCCGTAAAATAAAGTGATGTTCCAAGGTACAATTAGTAAAAAGCTAAGTTGGTCAGACCAGCTCATTATCTAAAGTATGACCTCTCCTTAAGCAAAAGTTACATTCTTTTTTGGGGGGGGGGGACCTTTTTTGTGACTGGTAAGGGGATCACAACCCTTGGCTTGGTGTCGCCTGCACCGCGCTCAGCCAGTGAGCGCACCGGCCATCCCTATATAGGATCCGAACTCATGGTGGGAGCGCCGCTGAGCTCCCAGCGCCGCACTCTCCCGAGTGAGCCACGGGATCGGCCCAAAAGTTACATTCTTTTATTTTTATTTTTATTTTTTTTGTCTTTTTGTCTTTTTCCGTGTCCGGCCACGGATCGCAACCCTCAGTGTTGCCCCCGTACCGGACCGGGGACCGGCAACGGGATCGCAACC